TGACAGTGGGTTAAACATGGGTGTGGGGTCCGAGAACTGGGGTGAATCAATGGCCTCTCTTCTTATTAGCTAGGTGACCTTGAGTAGTTCATGACTCTCTCAATCTCCATTTCCACGATGTGGTCCCACCTTGCAGCATTGCTGAAAATATTAAATGCCACTGATGCCCGCTGTGCCCTTATCACAGTGCTGGGCACATAGGCACGCAGGCACACAGGCATGCTGCACGACTGTGAGTTTATGTTAATAATTATTTGTTATGTTAATAACATTATGATGATTATTATTACATTTTATTATTATATAATATATTTGATTATTATATTGTTATATTATAACATAATAATATTATGTTAATAATATTTGGCAGAACTAAATGCACGGTTTAATTATTCTTTTAACTCAGGTCATAATCTAACCCACAGATGATGAAGGTGGTAATGATAAAAACAGCCAGCATTTATTAATCACGTGTCATGTGCCTGCCAGACACTCTTTCAAACCCTTTACATATAGAGTAATGAAAGCCGAGGGTGTTTGAGTAGCTTGCCGGGTCACCTTGCTAGGCAGTGGCAGCACTTGGATTCGATCCCAAGTGGTCTGAACCCAGAGCCTGACTGGCCTCTTGGTCATGCTACCATTCCAGGGAGACCTGTCCCGTGGCCTGACTAGGCACAGAAGGGCCAGCAGATCCACTTCTGCTTCTGATTTCCTTATGATCAGTGAGGTGCCCCGGACATTCTCCTTGGGATTAAATGACACTGACTAATATCTTGGAGATGCCAGCCAAGAAAAGTCTTGGCTTTCGATGGAATCTGGGAGGAGAGGTGGAGGAGGCAAGTTGATTCTTTAGCCGGGTGAGTTCTGGGCATTTCTCCAGCATCGTGGTTGGGGCAATCCCTGCGACTTCTAGTGATTGCTTAGAACGATTCACCTTGGCACTGCCTTCCGGACACAGGGTGAGTACCAGGGTGCTCACCTTTACTGAGTAAGTCATGGCCGTGATTGGAACAGGAACTACCGTGCTTTCCAGGATGTGGGAAAATGCGGACGCCGAGCTCAGAGCAAGCCACCTTAAGGAAGAGGGTGACAATTTGGGGAGCTGACATTTGAAAAAGTACAGGACAAGTAGGAATTAGGGAAAATAGGTAATACCGAATATCCTGGACATCAGAGAACAAAGTTATCACGAACACCCAGGAAAGACTAAATCCTGGAAGAGGTTAAAAATCCACTTCCAAAAACTAGAAAGAGAAGTGAACACCATGATTAAAACTCCAGATCTGTGAGGAGACCGGAAGCGGGAAGACTCAAGGATGAAGTGGGTAGCTGGGCTCCGTAAGCTCACATCGCCTTCCCCGCTTAGGTTCTCTGATTCCCTCAGCACTTCACATCACATAAGCTGTTGGGATTTCCCTTGCTCCATATAGCAGCTGCTCCATTTGACCCGAAGGAAAAATATTTCAGAACAGTTTCCAAACCAACTGCATCCTGCCTGCCCCCCAGTCCTATTGTTTGAGGAATTCTTTCATTTCTCTTATTCAACCAACTCCTCTCTGCCTCTTTTTCTCTTATCTCCCTTCCTTTTCCTACTCCCTCCTTCCTCCTCTCCTTCTTCTTCCTCTTCCTCCCTCTTCCCACTTTCCTTCTACATTCTCTGCTTAAACTTCTGACTACTAGAATAATTTAATTTCCAATAGGATAGAAAGAAAATGACCTGGCTTAGGAGATTTCCATGCCGTCTGATATCACCTTCACACTGCATAGTTGGCAGTGCCCAGGGAACTGAAGTAAAGACATGAGTCTTCTGTTGAACGAAAGGATAAATAAAAAAAAATTTTTTTGGCTGTCATACTTTCAGTTTAAAGCTCGCAGTTTTATTTTCATAAAATAAAAAAAGTGAATTGCTTATGCATTGCAGGGTGATTAGGCTGTCCTTGAGGTTTGAGAAAAACAGAGTATAATTTAGTTCAAGCTCATGTTTTGATTCCATAGTGGGAAGGCTGCAGATTTCCACTGCACAATAATAACATTTCAGCCGTGGCTTCTGAACCTGGGGGCGCTGTTGCTATAAATATTATTTCCATTGGATTATGTTGTGTTGAGGCCTGGATTATGTTAATATTTTAAAAGTCTTATCTCAGCGCTTACATGTTTTACATACCAGGAAGAGTGTAATGGGGAAGCCAAGGTTATGTAGACTAAATGAACTGCATTAAAATGAGCTGTGCTTTCTCCCTGGCTGGTTACAGTGTAGATTGGGAGAGTCAGCAACTCTTGTCTCAGAAGCAACCACACAGAGTCAGCAGGAGCCTGCGGGAAAGGGAGAAAACCTAAGCAGACAATGGAAACTCGGGAGGAGCAGAACTCACAGAGGCCAAGGACAGAGCGAAATAAATGAGTGGCAGAAGAAATAGGGCAAAGTTGATTTTCTACCCTCTTAATCCCTTCTTACATAGCCCAAATATCCTATTCAGTACTTCATTCATTCATTCATGCCACCCCCATCCTATTGTCAGGAGAGATTTAGAGACAATGGAACCTCAAAAACAAAAGCAACAGCGTGAATGAAATGAATGTGGGGAACATGCAGAATGCAACCGAAGGCATGAAGCCAATAGGAAGCTGGACAGTGGGATGTCGGTGGAGGGTTTTTTTTTCAGTTTGACGCAATCAAATTTCCTGTTTTGTGAACTTTGGTTCTTGTTGGCCTAAATGCATTTTTGATGCTTGCTAAAAAAAATAGGATAAATCCAACCACTTTGTTTATTTTCATATTCCTCGTTTCAATGGTAATAATGGTGGGATTAGGGAATGTGGAGAGAGGCAGCTCTGCAGGTGTGACGATGAGGAGAGGTCACGGGGGATGGAAATCCGATGGGAAATGCAACAGAAGATGGATCCGGGAAAGCGGAAAAGGAGAAGAGGAAGCACCAGAGACAGCCATGGGGTGCCGTGTTGGGGAGGACCCCTGACCTGGGCTTCCCCAGCGTCCTGGGTGATGGGCAGCAGAAGCTTCCAGACTCCACCAGAGGCTCTGTGTAGCTTCTGTCGCCTCAAGAGCCTATCAGTTTCTCCCTAAGTTCCCAACACGTAGTAGATGTTCCATAAATGCTTGTTAGACTCAGCTAAACTAAACCACTCAGGTCTAAAAGCGATGAGTAGAAGACCCGCAAGGACAAAAACCATACATTGTGTGAAATAGATAATAAAAAGTAATCGTAAGAGACAAATCGTAAAGGACGAAAAGAAGGGTGCTTTCAGATGGTGCATGGGTCTTTCCTTCCAGAGTGGAGAAAGCACATGCGTCCTGGGCTTCCACGGCACCGTGTCCTATCTCCACAGTTCACAGAAACCTGGGTTGTAAGTAAAGCTGCCGGGTCATCCTCCTTCCGACTGGACTTGGAACTTTGAGCAGATGGCGAGTGTGTCTGTTTCGCTCACTGCTGTACAGTGAGTCTAGCGCGAGGCCTGGCTGATCTTAGTTGCTCCATATATGTTATGTTGAACGAATGAGAAAACGAGGCTGATTTAGAAGGGGCTCGTGAAGAAATAGGGGGAATTAAAAAAAACTCCTAAGGGCGGCAAAAGATGTTGAGACAGTTTGAATGAAGGAATTTAACTTGAAAAAAAAATTTTTTTAAAGCTCTGTAGTAAAAAAAGGAAAGAACGTTATCAATAATAACAAAAATTAATAAAGACGTGTGTATAATCTCCTGGCATTTTCATTGCTTTATCTGTAAAATGGACTTAATAGTATCAACCTAAGAGGTTTTTTTGGTGAGGATTAAATGAGACTATGTGTAAAATGTTCAGCATTTGTTGGCCTTTACAATTAATTAACATTGTTAAGTTGAAAATGATAAAAGCCAGTTTGAATTTATGGAAAAAGAAAAAAAAAGCAGGGGGTTCCTTTACCTACAGTGTAGACAAGCCAAGAGGAGGGCAGGGTGGGTGTGGGAGCTGGGAGGGCCTACCAGTCCCCTGGGTGTGTTGGCTTCATCCTAGCCATCCACAAACCTGCCACCGTGGTCCCAGCCGCTCCAGACCCGCGTCTCGACAGCTTCACAGGTAGAGAGGAACGGACGTCTCTTAATTCAGCAGACCCCGAGGTCTTTGAGGAGCCTCATCTGAAATGCGTGCTCACCTCTCTGCTCCGCACTGCGGCCGGAGACGGGATGCACCATGGCTACTTTTAGCTGGGTCACATGCCCACCTTTCAAACAGAGACAGAGGCGTTGAGGAAATCCCTGTAGACCAGGCAGTTGCCCCAATTTGTGTCTAGGATCTTCAATCCGTGAAAGCTATGAATGGTGTTAGCGAGAGTAAAATGCAGCGGAAAAGGCAACGGGAAGGAAATGTGTAGCTTTTCCTCACGACTTCCACTCTGTACCCAGTTAGTAAGCAGGAGCCCGCCACTGGCTTTGCATCTTGACCGCCTGTCTCTGCTAAAAATTCAAAAATTAGCCGGGTGCAGTGGCACACGCCTATAATCCCAGCTACTTGGGAGGCTGAGGCAGGAGAATCGCTTGAACCCGGGAGGCAGAGGTTGCAGTGAGCCAAGATCGAGCCATTGCACTCTAGCCTGGGTGACAGAGCGACTCCCTCTCAACAACAACAACAGCAACAACAACAACAACAACAACAATTCCACAGAGGCAGGCATCACAGCTTCTATTTCCCCTTGCGTACCTCACATTAGACAGAGTGCCATGTTCCCGTGTTTACTGAGTGCTTTTTAATAACAAATAGATAAACAGATCAGTAACATCATCCAACATCAACCAGTTTGCAAAAATGAAACCATCGTGTCAAACTGGTTTCTGTGAAAGTAACTCGCTGAAAATAACGGAAAGTTTTGCCTCAGAAAATACATCTCTTGACCTAGTTTAAAGTCCTATTTGGATGCCACGGATGTTCAGCTCTACCAGTGTCGAAGCTTCCTGAAGACACAGGAGACTTGGCCTCAGAGAAGGTTCCAATTAAATGACTTCTTTATTGTTTTAAAGTAAGCTATTCTAATATTTCTCAGCGAAAGATTAATTTATCCCCTTGTATGTCAACCCTGAGCTCTTTTTGCTATTCCTAAGCAAAATCTAGTCTGAAAAGGCAGCATAGAGATCCAAAGAACGCACTGACAAAGGATCTCACCCGCAAGACCGCAGTAACACAGTCCCTGGAACAGCTCCGCTCGAGGCCACCCCGGTGGAGTGAGCAGATTCGTGCGGTCCTGAAACGGCTCCTGAATACAAGGTGAGCTTTGAATCATATTTTAAAGAAAATTGGGGCCAGTCACAGTGACTGACGACTGTAATCCTAGCACTTTGGGAGGCCGAGGCAGGTGAATCACAAGGTCAAGAGATCAAGACCATCCTGGCCAACATGGTGAAACCCAATCTCTACTAAAAGATCAAGATCAGCCTGGCCAACATAGTGAAACCCTGTCTCTACTAAAAATACAAAAAAATTAGGCAGGCGTGGTGGTGGGTGCCTGTAGTCCCAGCTACTCTGGAGGCTGAGGTGGGAGGATTGCTTGAACCCAGGAGGCAGAGGTTGCAGCGAGCCGAGATCGTGCCACTGCACTCCAGCCTCAGCCTCAGCAACAGCGCGAGACTCCATCTCACAAAAAAAAAAAAAAAAAAAAAAAAGTTAGAGCCACGCATTGAAGTCAAGAATAGGGCAGGAAACTGGAAAAAGAAATTATCTACTCACAAGCATGACTTTTAAAGCAAGACAGCTCTCTTCTTCTCTGCCTTTGGAACAATACATTCTTCTGAGATTAATGAAGGAAAGGGAGGGAACCTGTGAGATCGGATGGGGAATGGCTGGGAAGTTGCTCCAGTGATCTGCCTCCTCTCTTTGGGCTGTGCCCAGAAGCAGGATTGGCATGAGAGGTCGGCACCCAGAGAGGGGCTTGGGAAGCCAGGGCCAGAGGAGCCGAGGTGTGAACACTTGGAGGATGCGGACAAGCTGTGGAAACTTGAGATCTCTCAGAGTAGCAGAGACAATTCCAGGGGTGGCTGGAGAGAGATAGGGGGGTAACTGGAAGAGGCCACCAAACATGTGTGAGGCACTTTGAAAGCAGCATCCAAGGGTCAGTCTGGATTTACCAAGGTGATTAGAGTGAAAAAGCAGTGAGAGGGGAGGGAGGGAGAAAAACAGCAGGAGACTGAGGGAAGGAGAGAGGAGGGAGGGTACGGCTTGGTCAGGACAGCCTAGGTAATGCTTTAGTAACAAATAAATCCTGCACCTCTGTGGTTAAACAGCCAAGGTTTGCTTTTTGCTCCCTTGCACGTCAGCCTCCCAGTCACTCAGAGGCCCAGCTGAGGGCGTGCCATCTTGAGATATGTTATCACCATTGAAAAAGCAGGACAAGAACTGACAGTTCTGGTTTTCAAACACGCACTGGTCCTCAAAACTTCCTCCAGGAAATGGTGCACATCTTTCCCACTCACATTTCATTACAAGAACAAATCACATGTGCAACGATTTCAAAGGGATGGAGAAGGTCAAGCCTATCATGTTCTGGAAGATACGGGACCAGACACTTTGTGAACAGCCCCACGGCTGACACAGGGAGGAATGGCGACTGCACAGTCCCGGGACAGCTGCTGTGACGACCTGGTGCCTGCAGAGAGCTCGCCCTGAAAAGGATGCTCTGCCATCATGACCTTGGGACAGTTTCTGACCCTCTCGTCTCAATAAGATGTATTTCATATTTCAAATTCTCAAGCTTAACACCCTACAGTTTTCAACGTAAAATTAATCTTCATCTGCGCAAATGTTAAAATCTGTGCCTAAAGAAACGGTAATCAGTGAAGGAGGCCTGGGGTGAGTCATCTCTGCTGAATGAAGGGCTGTGTGACAATAGAACATTCTTCGGGAGGTGGAGGCGTCAGATTGAGAGGCTGCCACAGTTTAGTGAAGACTTGCCACGGGGACCCCCAAAGAGAGGCACCGTTGCATTGCGTTCTGTGGGAGCTGGTCCACAGTCAGGGCGCGGCAGAGCCGCGGGGGCCAGCAGCCCCCAGCGTGGGCAGAGAGAGTGCCCGGGGAGTGGGCTGGGGGCTGATCAGATGTGTGCCTCTCTCGGGCTCTGTGTTTTGGTGGTAAAAGGCAATTGGGACAGTGATCTGTCCCCTGCCTGATAATCAGCACCAAAATCAAGGAAGTCACACGTCCTTCAGGGATTAAAACATGAGATTGAAACACAGTGGTGTGGAGCGGTCATATGCAGTGGGTGCTTGAAGGAGACAGGGTGACCCTCAAGCCACCAAGACCTGTATGTCCCTTAGTCATCTATCAAAAGCTTATTGGGCACCTTCTATGGACCGAGGATGTTGTGGACACTTGAGGTGTAGTGATGGGCAAGATAGACATGCTGGATGCTCTGATGTGCCCCCAGATAAAGGACACTGCTGGGGATGTTGCTGGCAGGGAGTCCCCAGCTGTCAGCCCTTTTTGGGGACTGCCTGAGCTACAGGGAGCTGCTTCCCTCAAGATCACAGCTCCAACGAGGAGCACAAAGCCCAGCGGTGTGTGTGCTGACCTGGGACAAGGCCGCAGGGCTAGCCCACCCTCAGAATTCGCTGCGGGACTGGCTGATGTTTCTGATGAACTGGCTGTGGTGTGTTTTCCTCCTGCCCAGTCCTATTCCCTTCCCTTCTCTTCCCTTCCCAAGATGGGGGTTCCTGAGAGTACACCCTGGTCACTCTCCATCCTTGTCTCTGACAGTCTGCTTCTCTGGGAGTCCAACCTGTCCCAGACACAGCCTGTCCTCACGGAGTCTACACACTAACGAGGAAGGCAAGTACCAAACAAGTAAACAAACAAGCAAATGTCAGATGGCGATACGTGTTATGAGGAAAATAAAACGGTGTAACAGGGTGGTTACAGAAAAGGCAATGCTGGGTGTAGCCGTCTGGGAGGGTTTGGTGGAGACATGATATTGAGCAGAAACCCGATTAATGGAAATCTAGAGGACAACATCCCAGACAGAGAGAAGGACAAACATAAGGGCCCTAGGACCGACAGGTCTGATACATGTGAGAAAGGAAGAGAAGTGCCTTATGGCTAGGGTGATGTGCACAAGGGGCAGTCACCATGGGCTCAGTGAGGTAGGTGGGGGCAGGCCACTTTGGATTTTACTTAAGGGCAAGGGGAGAAAGGGGGATCCTAGTCCATACAGGGGCTTTCTGTGATTTAGAAAAAGGAATTCCTTTCTTAAGTAAAAAAATAATAATAATAATTCCATGAATGACTAGTTCGGTGCATGACTTGAGTAGCCATTCACAATGTCCCTGTGCGGGATAGTGGGAACTGCGAAAGGCTGAGCCCTCAGCAGAGAATGTAAGCAGGAGAGGAGAGGGGAGTGAGGAGATGGAAGAGTGTCAGCTCTGGGGTTCAGTCAGCAGTGTCCGGCCTAGTTTGCCCAAACAGTCATTCCATAATCCAAACTGCTGTTTAAATCGATGGCCAGACACACGCATCCTATTAGGAATTAGGCAAAGCTGCTTCTGGGAGGAGGCACTCCTTGACTCAGCCTGGCTTTCTCAGCCTGCTCACTGGTCGCCCCTCAGCATGGGGTACACATGCCTCAAGAGTGTGCTTCTGGCCTCCCACAGACCCCCCAACCTGTACATGCCCCAAGTTGTCTAGCACAGCTGGGAGGCCTGTGTTTCTTTGGATGGTTAGCTCCATATCTCTAAATAATAAGCTCCATGTCTTATATCAGGTAGAAATTACATTCAGCTGCCAGCACAGAGAGCCAGCAAAAGTTGCCTAAACAAGATAAAGATTTGTTTCTCTCTCACGTAAGAGAATCCGTAGGTAAGGAGCAGAAAGATGGAAGGAAATCGGATCCAAATGATTATGGATCTGCCGTAGCAACCCTGAAGTCCCCACGTCTGGCAAGAAAGAGGCAGGAGAAAGGAAAAGGGGGGTGTCCCAAGTGTTTTTTGACTTTTTAAGGAGCATGTTCATAAGTCCCACCAACAACTTCGGTGCAGACTTTATTGGCCCTAACTTAGTTACCTGTGTCCTTGCCATCTCTCTCCTGATACAGGTGTATCACTATTGTCATTAAATTAAGAATGAAAATTTCTATATATATGTATTTTTTAGATGGAGTCTCACTCTGTCATGATCTCAGCTCACTGCAACCTCCAACTCCCAGTTCAAGCGATTCTCCTGCCTAAGCCTCCAGAGCAGCTGGGATTACAGGCACCTGCCACTGCGTGTAGCTAATTTTTTGTATTTTTAGTAGAGAGAGGGTTTCACCATGTTGGCCAGGCTGGTCTTGAACTCCTGACCTCGTGATTCACCCACCTTGGCCTCTCAAAGTGCTGGGACAGGCGTGAGCCACCGTGCCTGGTTCTCAAAATTTCTATTTTTATGACTATGTGGGTATTGTTTGCTCTAGTTCCATGAAATGAATCATTTCTTATAAAGTTTTTTGTTTTTCCTAGAGTTGTGAATAGGCTTTGTTTTTGTACTGTCTGCCATCATCACAGCGTCAGCCTCCCTGCCCTCCTGTCTCTGCAGTCCCCGTCATACCAGGTATTCTCTCTTTCTTCCTCACAAAGGCCTCCTCCTCTGTGGCCGAGAGCAGGGTCCGCAGCACAGCCGTTATTCCTGGACTTGCTGTTACCACTCATGTAGGCACTATTTCCTGGGTTCCATGTCTTTTTCCTTCATTTACTGGGACTTCTTTTTGCTGGAACTTTCCTGCTTGATTACTCCTAGACTAACAACCCAAGAGGTGCTGGTCCAGGCCCCAGACATACGGAGAAGAATGAAGCATCATCCCTGCCCTGAAGGGTTTCACAGCCTGCTGGTGGGGAAGACGTGTGGAAAGATACATAATAACAGGTAAGTGCGCTTACCTGCTCTGTGAGCAGGACAATGACATCTATTCGTGGGATCAGGCAAGGCTTCAGAGCAAAGGTGACGCCAGGTTTCGCAAGAAGACTGAGTGTTTGCTCACTGGAGATGTGGAGGAAGGCAATTCCAGGCAGAGGTCACCGCATAGGCAAATGCACGAAGGCATGACAGAGACAGCTAGCAGAACGGTGAGCTCAGTGACGCTGAAGCATAGAATACGTTGCGTAGGTCAGGGCTCAAGCATAAAGAACCAAGCATGTTTCCAAAGTTGCACACAACCCATTTATAAACTGCTGAGCATGTCTTATTTGCAATTTGTGAGTGACCTAAGCAGGTCTGTAAAAGTGGACGGGGCATTTAAAAACCCGAACATTTCTGCCCAGAAAATCAGGTCTCTTCAATTCTGATTGCCAGCCTTTCAGTCCCAATTCAGACAGAGGAAGCAGAAGGGTTTCCATCAGACCTACACAGCACTCAAGGACAAATTGCTTGAGTTTTCTCAAGAGATAAAGACTTTTTATTACAATGTAACAAAGCATAATTGGTTTAGTTGATCTAGTATGCAAAATCTTGGGTGTTCTTGTGCTATGAAATGTTACGATTCAAAATAATTCAGGCTCTCTCTAGCACTGCAAACCTCCCCTGCCTGCAAGTGCTAAAATGTTTCTTACTTAGACTCACACTTCGCTTTTCCTTCAAAACACAGAGCTTGCCCAAGTCACCGAGGGTAAAGACCTCCCTACCCCTTTCCCACCTTTTTGGATTATTGGTTTTTTTCTATATTTGTCACATTTCTAAGTGCTTCAAAGGGGGCTGGGGCAGACATAACCTCACCTCATAGACTCCTCTGGCTCCACATCACAAGTCTCCTGGGTATTTTTACATTATTATTGGTTGAAACATTTTAAAAATATCTTTCCTCTATAAATGTGTGTGTGTGTACAGCTTCCCTGTCTCCCTGAAATGCCCATTTATAGGTAGGAAGTAGCCAGTTGCCCAACTGTTTTACGAGAGGCTCATACCTCAGAAAAACTATGTCGCACCCCTTCCTAGGAGAACCCAGTAAAGGTTCTTTGTCCTCGCTGTCTTTTCAAATCGTTTCTGCCGTTATAGATCAAGGTGTTCCAGTGATTTTGTCAGGATAGCTCTTTAGAAAAGAAGAATCAGGGAGGAAAAGAGCCAGTTAAACGGGTTGAAGGAACTGTGGGAAGGTGTGTACGTGAGTGGGGAGGGGGGAGGGGGCCTCACACGAATAATATTTGAAATTTACCTCTAAACTTGAAACCTGGTTGACAAATGTTGTTACAGAAATTCAAAAGTATTGGGTTTCATTTGTTTGTTTCTAGCGGATATCACAGGAGCACCGGTCAGATGCTGGGTGTTTGCCGGACAAGCGAGCCAGAGGAACACGAAGGCCCTGCCATCAAGGAGCGTGCCAGACCTTGGGGCCCCTAGACCAGGAGTCCTTCAGAGGGGCCTGCCACGCTCCTCACGTTTCAAAATGATTTTCCACCTTGAACATTACACTGTCTGTCAAGTTCAAAGAGCCTTCGTGTTTTGTTTGAAACAGGGTCTCGCTGTGTCACCCAGGCTGGAGCGCAGTGGCACGACCTCGGCTCATTGCAGCCTTGACCTCCTGGCGTCAAGGGATCCTCCCACCTCAGCCCCCCGAGTAGCTGGGACTACAGATATGTCCCACCACACCTGGCTAATTTTTGTATTTTTTGTAGAGATGGGGATCTGCCATGTTGCCCAGCCAGGTTGGTCTTGCACACCTGAGCTCAAGCAATCCTCCTGCCTCAGCCTCCCAAAGTGTTGTGATTACAGGTGTGAGCCACTGTGTCTGGCTGCAGAAGATTTTCTTTAATTCAGCCCATCTCACTACGGTTTTCTTTCTATAAAAACCCCAGCATTCCCACTAAGGATGCTTGTTGCTTCTGGAAAGGAGTATTAAAGTATCAGTCTTCCTTTCCAAAGTTCAAACCCAAGCCAATGTCCTTCTGGAATCATTTCTAGATGTGTGTGTATGTGTGTACAGACATATATATGTATATAAGTATTTACATATTATGTGTATATATTAAAATGTATATATTTACTCACATACATGCATGTATACATATATAGTACAAGCATATGCATATCTATGTATATGTATTTACATTTCTGTTTGTGCCTCATTTTTTCTTCATACTAGAAAAATGTAATATTGACAAAATCAAAAATAAATTGGTTTGTGGTTCTAGATGCCACAGCAGTGACCGCAGGCATTTAGGCATTTCGTAATGTTCACTGGTCATCTCTCTAGGCCTGCCACTGTTTGGAAGTGAGTAATATTATACAGCTCCAGTTACAAAGCCATGCACTTGACTGAATCCTCATGTGGCAGAGAGAAGCCCTCTGCCAGGGGGAGAAACCCAGTCCCGTGATCAAACCCCTACTGGGCTGATCAGTTATTGGCAAGTCCCCCTGCATGCTAGCTGGGGTGCTGTGGGGTGTCCTCCGGGACAAGTTCTCAACTGCAGCGGCACCTTGGAGTCATGGAGAGCTTCCAAACATCCTCCTGTTGGGGTCCTTCCTTTATGGGGTCCCCTCTGATGGGAGTGGGTGGGGCCTGGCTCAGGGATTTTGAAATGTGACTCCTGTGTTGAGCCCAAACTGGGAACCCCGGCAGCAGGGTCATTGGTATTTGAGGACACAAAGCAAGAAGGCAGCCTGTCTTCTCTTTTCCCAGAGGTGGAAGGCGGTGGGGAGGAGCAGGAGGGCGTGCGCGGTACCCCTGGAGGCCACCTGCCTGGGCTTGCTCGGGGCCAGCAGCCTCGGAGGCTGTGTGGAGGCCGCGGCCGCACATCTGGCCCTAAGCACTGCACAGACTGTGGAAATCCTGTAAGATAAGCTCCCAGGAATGAAAAGAAGGCGGTCTACACTTTCTGGGTCCCAGCGCCAAAGCAGGAGGTCCCAAAACCGCAGGGTGGGGGCGGGATCATTTGCGGACACCAAAAGCCAAAGGCCAAGAGGACTCTGTTTTAGCAGATTAATTTATAAGAAAAATATCAGAAGCAAAGGCACACATGGGAATATTGTTATTGGAAAGAACATTTTGCAAAGGAATTTTTATAAATGGAAACTGCTTCAAGTTCAAGCCATATTTAAAAACACAACCACATGGGTGGCAGGAAAGAGGGTACCAGCTGTGTTCAAATATTTTCCTAAAGGGATGGACACCCAGCCCCCCTCAGCTGTCCCCAAAGGGCGCAGGAGGTCTGTGGATCCTGCTTACTTTGGGGGCCCCGGACTTGGCCCCTGGAGGCCTTAGTGACCCGATGAGGATAGTAAAACATGGTAGCTGTTCCGGGAACGCCTTCTCCAGAGATAAAGACTGTTCTTCACCAAAGATGATTCCAGGAAAGTTAATTTTGGAAATGGAGAGGAGAAAAGTATGTATGAATCGCACCTGAGTGCAGATTTAAGTCCATGGTATTTGCCCAAAGAATCCCTCAGGAAATCTTTCCCTTCCTTTGACCTACAGCAGAATAAAGGAGATTAATTTTGGGTGGATGGTTGGTGGCAGAACTCGAGGGAATTTCGGAAAACTGAAGAAAATAACTACTTGAATAGACCAGAAGTGAAGGTTTGCTGTGGTGTGCAGCCCAAAATCTAGTTCAGGCCATCTCCTGTGACATTTTTAAAAATTGCTGTGTTTGACACAACCTTAGGCCTGAGAAAACTTTACTTTCCTAGAAAAGCACATTTACGTGGAAACCCGGCATACTCCCCGGCACTCAGCTGCAGGAAGTCGGCCTTGGTTCCCCATGGCATCTGCAGAGCAGTGGCTGGCATGGGGCAGCCTTTTATACATCTGTGCATAAAAGAGTGGAACGCCTCTCCTGTGAACGCCAGGGGAGCAGTTCTGAGGTAGACAAAAGACCCTTAATACACATTTTCCCCCAAATTAATCATCTCGGTTCCAGGAAAAAAAACAGACTTTTTTGGACTTCTATATATTGCATCATAGCATATCAATGTAATTAGTAGAATCAACACCGTTCCTCTTATTACTAACGATTAACACATCGTGGGCACACACGATGGACTCAGGCGTTGCTGGAGAAGATTTGATTCACATATTATTTTAAGTCTGTTTTCTATTGCTTGTAGTAGAATACCTGAAACTGGGTAATTTATAAAGAAAAGGAATTTATTTCTGACATTCCTGGAGGCTGCGAAGTCCAAGTGCATCTGGTGAGGGTGCGCTTGCTGGCGGGGGCTCTGCAGGGTCCCAGGGTGGTACAAGGCATCCCATGACGAGGGGGCTGAGTTCACCCGCTCAGGTCTCTCTTCCTCTTCTTATAAAGCCACCTGTTTCCCTCCCTAATAATCCACCAGTCCATTGACCCAGTAATCCATTCATCCATGAATGAATTAACCCATTCAGGAGGGCAGAGTGCTTATGACCCAGTCACCTCTCAATGCTGCCACACTGGGGATTCAATTTCAAAAGGAGTTTGGGAGGGGACAGATATCAAGACCGTAACACATATATGAACGCATTGTTATCCTCCAAACTGTGTAAGAACTCCTATGCCCATTTCAGAGATGGGGAAATGGAGGCACAGAGGATTTAGTAACGACACTCAGCTAATGAGTGGTGAAATGGAGACCCCAGCACAGGCAGCCTGACCCTGGGCTTTGTCCCTCTAGCCACTCCTGCCTGTCCACTCCGAGGCTGTTGAGTGGATGCCCATGGATTTGCCTGCTCACGCCTTCCCTCTGGATGCCCTGCCATGCTCCACCAACATGGTTCCATGGCAGCTTCGATAGTATCACCTGGCCCTGCCCCTGCCCCTGCCCCTGGCCATGGTTCACTGCTCTACAGACAAGCCCTGAACCCATTGTTAATGAATTCTTTCCCCAATATATTTCAACTTGAAACTACACAGGAGACAGGGTCTATTTCTCGCCGATAGTTGTAAAATCTGGAGCTGTTGGGAACTGTATTTGCCGCCACAGGGAGGAACGCACTCGACAGTTGTAAAATCTGGAGCTGTTGGGAACTGTATTGCCACAGGGAGGAACGCACTCGATAGTTGTAAAATCTGGAGCTGTTGGGAACTGTATTTGCCGCCACAGGGAGGAACGCACTCGATAGTTGTAAAATCTGGAGCTGTTGGGAACTGTATTTGCCACACAGGGAGGAACGCACTCGATAGTTGTAAAATCTGGAGCTGTTGGGAACTGTATTTGCCGCCACAGGGAGGAACGCACTCGATAGTTGTAAAATCTGGAGCTGTTGGGAACTGTATTTGCCGCCACAGGGAGGAACGCACTCGATAGTTGTAAAATCTGGAGCTGTTGGGAACTGTATTTGCCACCACAGGGAGGAATGCGCTCCACAGCCAGAGAGAAGGAAGCCAGAGCTCCAGAGAAACAGGAAGCAGAGGCGAGGAGAGTCCTGGGGCATGGAGCCTCTGCTTCCTGCAGTGCACAAGGCTGCCGCCGTCCTGCCACTGGGATCCACAATCACGGTAGTTTCTCCTTTTGGCTGAAGCTAGTTTGAATGGGGTTTCTGTCACTTGCAACCTAGATAGTTCTAACTAGTTAGAGGCAGAAACTCCATTCTGAGCCCCAAACCAAAGATGTCAGAGTCCTTTTGTCCTTTTCTTTTTCCTGCAAAGAAGGCCTTTGTCCAGAAAGCGATGTTGGCCTCTCCTGCAGGGTCTTCCCCATAAAGCCAGGAGTAGTCAGGAGGACTTCACGCCTGCGTTGCTACTCCAACCACTTCCAAAGATGGCTACATCAATTTAGCCCATGATTCCTTGTGATGTGACTTTGCCACGACTTCCATCAGGAAGTGGAATCTGTTTCCCCTCCTCTTAAATTTGGGCATGACATGTGACTTGCTTTGACCAACAGGCTGCATCAGAAGTGGGGTTATGTGATCTCCAAGGCTCGATCTCCAAGGTCCAAGTTGACCTTGGACCTTTCAGCCCAGCTGACCCTCCAGCTGAATGCAGCCATGTCAGTGAGCCCAGGTGAACCAGTGGAGAAACCAACCTTCGGAATCAAGAGTGAAAATTGATTGTCGTCATCGTAAGTCTCTAGATGTTAAGGTGGTTTCTCTCATAGCAGTAGACAAGTGATACACCTGTAGTCACTCCGGCCTGGGAGAACGGGCATGTCAGTTGCACAACATGACTCTAACTGGCTAAAGCCCTGGGTGTCATGAGTGCTGGTGCAGCAAAGCTCCTTGCTGGAAGGAGGGTTCTGGGTGAGCTCTGGGTTTTTGCACAGTGAGCCCAGAACCACACGGCTCTGCATTCACTCTTCCCGGCCCACTAGTGCTCTTGCTTGTGGTGAAACAGATCCAGGTTTAATTATTAGAAGTAGCCAAAAACACAGGCTATGTTATACTCCCAAATCTGGAGTTTCTTGCATACAGCCAGGTGTTTAGAATTGTCACAGACTTTATACCTTTTTTCCCGGTTACACCAGTTAGTCCAAGGAAGGCCTTTCTAATACTTTGCTGTTCCTCCCCCTAGTTATTGTTGGGGAGTCACGGGAGTTCAGAGCTGCAAGGCAGTGAGACACA